TGACTCCAAAACGTGTGGACTGTCATACCGACACAACTCATATAAATTACATGCATATTAAATTATAACAAGAATATTTTTATGTTTTGAAAATTACATTTTTAACTTAAAGCTTTACTACGAAAGTAGAAACACCGAAATACCATTTACGCGTCGAAAGAGCGAAGACGATATTGAAACTAGAAACGGATTTTTAATTAGTAAATAGCAAAAATATTTTTTAATTAATTAATAATTTACTGTATTTGAAAACTGAATTTTAAACTTGTAGTTATGCATTACGAAAGTAGGCAATTACGAGTTTAAAATTCGGTCGGACACGCAAAAGTTGACAATATCTCTGATTTAGTTTTTGTTACACAAATTTTTTTCTCTTTATGAACAAATGTTGTACTTCATCCATTTCAAAATGATTGTCGTTTAAAGTTTTTACACACAAATCAAGGAATGCAATGGTGTTTTTATAAGATATTACACTTTTACAAAATTAACCCTATTGATGTATTGAAAGTAGTGTAGAGAGTAAAAAAGTAAATGACACAATTGGAAAAATAGTAATCATTACTATATTGAAAAGTGAAAATCATAGTCATTTTGAAATAAAATTTATTTGCTAAAACGACAGTCATTTTAAAACGAATGGAGTAATTTGTATGAGTAAAGTAGGTATGCAGAAATCAATGTTGTTTCGGCCTCTCATTATTAAAATAGATTTAAATCCCTTATTTTCATTTGTTTGCATAAAACTAACCATTTGAGTTGTCTTAGCTTAACATAAGAACGATAGATGCCGATAGTTGTAATTGATTTTTGTGGATTTAACAAACCTTTTATATTATACTAATAAAGTCGTATACTTGCGGCATATCAACTTCACTGGCCTTAACATTGTGTACCCTAAAGATTTGTATCCCATACCTAGTACTGGTCATCTGATTGAAGTGTTCTCTGACTACAAAATTTTGAGTTTCATGGATGCTTTTTCTGGCTACAATCAGATCAAGATGGATCATATAGATGCTTCTAAGACTTAATTCATGTCTAATCACGACAACTACTATTACAACGTCATGCCTTTTGGGCTAAAGAATGTAGTCGCTATGTGTCAAAGACTCGTGGACAATGTATTCTCGAAGCAAGTAAGGCACAACCTTGAAGTTTACATCAGGGAATTTACCGCCAAACAAAGGGCGGCCAAAAGGTATAACTCGAAGGTAGTTCTGAGAGAAATGCAAGAGGGCAACCCCGTGCTTAGTTAAGTGGCCATTCTAGCCCGACAAGGAAAACGGAAACCCAATTGGCAGGGGCCCATACTACACATGCCAGAAGCTGCCTCATGAAGCTTACAAGCTCGAAGAACTTAACGGGGGACTCATCTAAAGGGCATGGAACTCAATTAACCTGAGATATATTTTACAACTAGCTAGTTTTTTGTTATTTATTTTAAAGGGAAAGGCGACTGGTCAACCAATGTATGCATCCCTTTAAAAATTGATTGTTAATGTATTCACATCAGGTTAACCCATTTCTTAATCAGTCTAAATTCCGGATTTGCATTGGAAATTCCTTACTGTACTCAAAAGGAAATCTAAATGCTAGATTTCCATTTGAAATTTCTTGTCGCCCTCAAAAGGAAATCCAAATGTTGGATTTTCATTGAAAAATCCTTGTCGCCCTTAGAGACTATATAAATACTGAACTTCCATGAGAAGGTCCATGCAAAACAAGAAGTAATAACTTAACTTAAAGTTTCGCTTGATGGACTTAACACAAAGTATCACTCGAGGGACTCGACTTGAAAGTCTCGTCCGAGGAACTTAAATTGAGTATGCTTGAGGGACTCGCCCCAAATATGTCAGAGGGACTTGCCTCAAGTATGCTTGAGAGACTCGTCCAAATAAGAATAAGTGATTAGGCTAAATCACTTCCCCCTTTCCAAGTCCCCGTGCTTGAGAGATTGTGTATTGATATATTTGTCAAAGATTCACAAGTGGCGGTCTATAAGGTTCTCTAAGGACAAGCGACATCTTATATAGTCTCATGTTCATTGGAACATCTGCTCATTATAATGGTCACCCTTTTATTTGACGTGTCTCAACCCATAACTATATAGGAGAGAAAAGTAAAAGAGGAGAAGCCACGTTCTCCATAATAATAAGGGAGATAACGATTTGTTTCACATACTCATGAGAGTGAGTATTATTTTTCTTGGAGTCTAAGATTCCGATCTAAGAGATTTCTATAAATACATCAACTGTAACATTGAGGTGGTCATTCAAATTCACCCATAAACACTAATATACAAAACTTCTCACATTCTATGTGAGTTTACTCCAATACTATAACAACTTACAAATCTAAGAGAGTCCTGCAATAAAAAGAGTTGTCATGTATTACACTTTAGCAAGTATATTTTTATTATATTCGACCATTCAATAGTGAAAAAAGTAAATCTTAATTTTACTTATTTTCTTTTATTCATATTATTAATTACTTTGATAAAAATCATGTAAAATACAATATAATTCATAAATAATTTTTTAAAGGAGATTAATTAATATTTCTTATAATTCATTATGTAATTAGTACAATAAAATACCAAAATTAAATTCTTTACAGATATTTTTAATTTTGGAAAGACATAATCCGACTTTGAAAATTGTGTTCAGGTACATTTCGTTGCACGTAGAGAACAAATGTATAAAACAATATTATCCTCTTCAGAAATTCACTTGTATGGTTTTGGTCCAATAATCCAAATATTTTGGCGAGCTATCTTTTATTTACCGATTGAATTTGCTTGCCAAAAACAACAAAATATTACTTTTAAACGTAAAGATGTTTTTTGCGTTTAACATGTGAACTGATGGTAAGTAATTTTTTTTTGGTAATAACTGATGGTAAATTTATTGCAAAATATAAAATAATAATAGAGGATTTAGAAAAACTAATGTAATAATTAATATGAAAAAAACTAACTTGTGTTTTTTAAAATACATGTTAAAAGTAATAAAAAATGAGATTAATTACTATAAATATTTAATGATCACGATTTATTGATAATGTAAAACTATTTTACACTGTCAGTGTATATCAATTAAGTACATTAAAAATAACTTATAAAATTATTTATTTTAAATTTTTTTAACACATGTTCTTAACAAAAAAATTAGATTTTTAAATTAATTAATAAGTTAATTATTTTAATAACGAAACGAATAGTTTCTAGTAATTAACTGCGGCGAAAAAAAGAGTTACACAAAAGGACGTAAATTTTTTGTTTTTTAATTTAAAAATCATATGAAATTATTATTTTTAATATTTCTTATAACTATTTCCGGTCAAAGAACAAAAACTGAAACGTGTACGTTCCAAAATCGTTCTTACCCATCCAGCGAAGTTTCGCATTCCCTCCATCTCCATATATAAATACAATTTTCCCCTTTCGGTTCAGATCGCTTTTCAACGCGTTCTCTTAATCCAACTTCGCTTGCTGATCAACAGCATCGGAGAATACATAAACAAAATTCACATGGATTAATCTCTTTAATCTCAATCATAATTAGATCATCTAATCGAATTCGAATTCGAATTCTTCACTTTCTATAATCTCAGATCCATTTCGTATGTTCTTCGATCTTCGATCGGTTCCGATCGAACAAAGGCTTGTAGATTTTTGTTTTCTGGCTTCTTTTGTTGAAATTAGGGTTTCCACGAGCGAGAAATGATGTATTCGGTGCCCGTTGGACTCTTCTTTTTACGCCATTTGGTTCTGTTTCACGGTGGATCTTCTTTTCATCGTCTTAAGCATCTTTCAAAAAGTGATAGGCGTGGTAATCTTAGTTAACCCTACGTTTTTTTTTCCTGCGATTCGTTTTCTCGAGTTTTTCGATCACTTTTTCGGAATATTTCTTTTGTTTTGTTCATTTTGGTTCGTGGTTTCTTCGATCGTGCGTGTTCTTGAGGAAATTGTTGTAATAATTTCATTGGCGAAATAGAGTTGTGGTATTGCTTTGATTTCAAAGACTGTGAAAGCTTGCTGTTGTTTATTGCGAGTTTTGCTATTTGAATTGAATCTACACACATCGTCGTTTAAGGTGATTTACATTATTTTATTATGCCTTATATGCTGATATATGTATACTGCATATTGATATATGGATGCAATGTCAGTGTTGATTTTTTTGTGTGAATATTGAAACTCATAGTTTTATAGTAATTAGAGTCATGCATTGACCTGTTAAATTACTCCTATATAAGTCTAATCATATTTTATCATCTTGCCAGAATATAATTTGGTTGTAAGACATAATATTGTTCTACTATAATTTGGCTATTCTCATAATACCTTTTAATACTCTAGTGTTTAGTTATTGAATGGCAAGGTGAAAAGGTTTAATAATTGTATATTGACAATGTAAACAGGTTCTTCATATTCTTACAATCTAATAGTTTAAACGTGTTTTACAATGTTAAAAGGGCTTTAAGAAATGATATTATCAGGTTTTAAATAGGGACTCGTTATCTGATAATTTAGGAACAATCACATATTTGTAATTCAATTTTAATTTCATGATTATTTCTCTGGTCTTGACATTTTGTTTTGTCCCTTCAGTAATCACCGTGAAGATAGAGCTTCTATCAATTTCATCACTAGTGTTACCCTATTTTGTTTATTGCTATTGTTATAGCTCACATGACCACCATGTTATTGATTGCAAACTTTCTATTATTCATCAAAATCTCTTTGAGTTGGCTTCCTTTACCAATGCAATTATGTTGATCGGTTTCTTTTGTCAGCACTTTGATTATCATTATATGTCAGATGCATGGAAAAGACTGATATGATACTATTTCCTTCTTCCAATCATAAATCACAACACACCTATGTGTGGATTGTTTTATTTGTTACTTGTTGGTAATGTTTTTTTTTTTCAATGAAATTTAGTTGATGTTTTGTTGATTCGTGGCTTGTGTTGCAGAGTGGTCGTATACCTTTGATGGACATCCACTCTCTTGTTAATGCTGTGGATGATGTCATCATAAGTAAACTTGGAAGTACTTTTGCTACGTCCTTACATATGCAAGATGATCATAAGTTAGTACATGTATCTGATGAGGATGATATTGGTGGCTGTCATGTTGGGGAGGGGCATGAATGTGATGGTTTTGAACAAGAAACCAAACTGAAATTGACGAGCTTGAAGGAGTATTCAACATTTCCTTGTCCTGATATGGTGTTGCCTTCAAGCTCTTCTGATGATGAGGAGGCTGATACACCACTGACAAAATCACCCTCTAACCAATCTCTGCAACAAAGTTACTCGTGCTCGGCATCTCAGCCAGTAAGTTTAAAACGCTAGAATTTTTGGTTGTTATTGTGTTCCTAAAAAATCCGGGCTAGTTCCAGTATGCAAGTTAATGATTGTTTTGATTTTAATAAACCTGAGCCACTTCTAGTGTGCAAGTTAATGATTGTTTTGATTTTAATTAGTAAATGGAGAAAATTGCTCCAAGGGGGTGGGAAGTAGTTTGCCTGTTGCATATGTTTTGGCGTGCATTTAACTTTTGTTTGACATGTAGTTTTGATCAGGCATAATTTATAGGTATTTTTCTTTGCATTTACCATCCTTTGATTATTGGTTTTTGTTTTCTCTGTATTACACCACAGGCATCTCCAAAACTTGTATCTGCAATGAAGGGTAGCCGTGAGAAACTCGGGGGGTTAGAAACGAAATTGTCTGTTAAATGGGCCTCTGATGTGTATGATCCGATACCAACATTATCGTCACATACTGTGAGAATCAAGAAACAACCTAAATCTAGGATCAAGAAGAGTGAAAAGAAGTATGTAAAGAAAGGTCAGAAGGGCACCTATTCTAAAGGAGGTAGCGGCAAAGATAAGAAGCAGCACTATCGCTATAGCTGGCCAGAATCTTGTGGCAAAGGATTTGATGCTTCAAAGGAATTAAATAATCTTGATGTTGTTGGCCATGATTCATACCATGAAATTAGCAACTCTAAAATACCATCTACAGAAAAGCCTTGTCATGTGGGAGAAGCGTTTAGTAACATCCTTGATTTTGTCTCCTATATCAAGAGTTCTTAAATAACTAATTTGATTTTGTATTCTCTATCATGGTTGCATTATTTGCCTTCTATTAGGTTGTGTGAAAAAGAGTTTATAATTTCACGGTTAAAAACTGTTTAGTGCTACTATCATGCAGATCATACAATGCATATCCTGTAATACTATATTCTTTTTTGGGTTGAATAATGTGGCAACTCTTGTTTGATATTTATATCTTTAGTTCAAAGGGCTGATATTAAAAACATCTATTATGCTTTCAATGGTCACTGGGAATGCCACAAGCAATCTAATTGCTTATGTGCAGTGCATAATACAAACGGAAAGAGCTGGAGAAAACAACATTAGATACGAAATGATGCTTCAGTAGAAAACAATACACTTGTGAACTTTTTATTAAATCCAGCTATGAGCTGATTTCAGTATAACTTACATAATTATGGTTTTCCTGATTAACGGAAAAATAAAATAGTTCACAATCAATTATGATCCCAGAACGAGTCACATTCATTTGGCTATGATGTGTACTCGGCGTTTATTTTGACATAATCGTAGCTTAAATCACAGCCCCATGCTTGTCCTTGTCCTGGTCCATTGCCTGTTGTAGGAAAACAGATGCTATATCAAATACTAGTAAACAAGATAATTTTAGGGGGACAATAGAAACGCAAACCCTAGACTAATAAACTCTAGACAGTGTCTAAACGGGGGAGATAGACTTACCAACAGATATCTGAATTCTAACTGTACCGTGAGTCTCCCCAGCCCTTCTCATATAACTACTAGCAGCTCCGCTGCCAGTCACAGATTTTATATTACAGATAAACGAACAAGTAGAATCAACGAACAATAACATTAGGGATGAACTGAAAAGCATGTTAGAAGTTTTATAGGCTACTTCTCACGCGCACAATACAGGAGCAACATGGGTAGAATCTAAGCTATGTGGATAGATGAGACTTGCATAACATAACGACTAATAATTTGTTAAAACAGTTGATGTTTAATTAAAACACTTTCCTTAATGCAATTTATCTTGCCCCCGGATTTTTTATTCTCATTTCTACACAGAGAGGTGCTAGTAAAATGGTAAAGTGACACCCTTCCACAGCATCAGAAGTTGTATATTTACTGACCCGCATTTAAGTATTTTGTTAGTGTCTAGGCTTGTTAAGTATTTGCTAAGAAAAAATAAGAGTACAAAAAAACATAAAAACATGAGAAAAAAATGAAGATTCACTAGTTTAACAGATGCAAGTAAAATAACCAAAAACAATAAAAACTCTTACCGGTCAAATGATTGTGGCTCCCCGCCATCCATTAGTAAAATATCCCCTAGTTTCACCCTAAGTACGTTTTGGTTGAAAGAAACCCCCGAGTAACCAGCTGCTGCGGCAATACGTCCCCAATTGGGGTCTCTACCATATATAGCAGCCTGACTATCATTATGTTAGAAGATAGGACTCAAGTCACATTCAAACAAAATAAAATCTTCAGTTTAACTATCATGCCTTTACAAGTGAAGATGATGCAACTGAACGAGCAACTTTTGCAGCTTCAGCCTCACTATTTGCACCAGTCACAATGACCTACAAAGAGAAGATGGAATTTGGTTATAAGATACAATATAAAGCAGAACTCGGCCCACACTTTCACCAATCAACATTAACAAAACTTCAAAATCCAGCTACAGTAACATAATAGTAGAGGAATACACATAATATGACTGTCACTGGGATTTGTCTGCAATGATTTTTCTATCACATAAGGAGAATGAGAGAACATAAACAGTTAAAATGAAAATGCAGTGAAGACGAGGGACAGAAAAAAAAAAAAAAGAGGGAGAAAGATGAGCTATATATTATTGAAAATTAATTTGATTTAACATATGCAATTAAATCCAGTATTTATATTAATTAATTAACAAAAATCTGAATAGATGAGGAACATTTGATAGTGCTATGAAAACAATATCTAGTTCTCTTTTAGATAAGTCATGATTCATGCAGAGGAGTGTGGAGGATTACTATTGCAAGTAACAAAGGACGCAATAGCACCAATCAATGTTATAGTATAGCAATCCTCAACGCAAAAAACAAACCTCAATGAGGCATGTTGCTCCCTCTCCATCCCAAGCTATAGATTTGGCAAGACCTTGCATTACCTGGAAAGGACAAGTAAGCCAAAATTTCAAATTTATAGAAAGAAGAGTACTTCAGGATGATTAATTTTAAGTCTCAAGGAAATCACAGGACAAGATCTAAGGATAGAGAGGATGACAAAAAGGAAATCTTAAGCTTCTTTTATTACTTCGTTGCAAGGAAGGGAAGAGTGAAGCGTGAAAAGATATCATCATATTCAATTGAAACATTCAAAATGCTACCAATTCTGCATACTAACCACAAAATCACACCTTAATAAACACACACCAGTAGGGTGCAGAGGAGGTGCTTATTATAATTATTTTATGTTTTTGCTAACCCACTGTATGAGGTTCTTCATTATTAAATAAAAAAAGCAGTGGGGATTATGCATGTCACCCCCGGCACATTCCAGAATATATTTAATCCAAATGGGACTATAACACTACTGCCAGTATATCATAGTACTTTTTTCTTTCTTTCTAATTTTACATTATTATACAAGGTCAAGCTTACCGCGTCTAGGCATGCCTGAAGTTGAATTGCCTCATTGCTGTCTAGAGAAGAAATGGGGCTTAGCCCAGACAACCCACTAGCCAAAGCAATAACAGTATCATTAGTACTTGTATCCCCATCTACCTGAAGCAAGATGATGCAAAATCAATGTAAGACTCAATCATTATCTAAAATATAACGAGCAAAATATTTTTGATGAAGAGAACATGGCATCACTTTGCACAAATTTTCTAAATACTCTTTTGACATGCCTATAATTTTAATTGTGAAACTACCACATTGTGTTTTTGCACTTTAGTTCAGAGAGAGAACAAAAAATAAATTATATTTAAATTATTGTATGGCATCACTATGTTGCTATCAGAATTTGCAGTCTCTAGAAAAGAGTGAAAATCACATACAGTTATCTGATTGAAGCTTCGATTAACAGCAACCCGGACCATCTTTCTCCAAACATCACTTGTTACCCCGGCATCAGTTGTTATTACCTAGGCTCGATGAATTCACATAGACTTAGCTCAAGGAATGGACTTGAAAATCCATATATTAGAAACATGAAAGCATCAAGTACGACATACCCCGAGCATGGTAGCCATATTTGGGTGGATCATTCCAGAACCTTTTGCCATTCCCCCAACTCTGACCTTGGTCCTTCCAACCTAACCAATGCCGAACAATAATAAGAGTTAGACAATCTCACTTTTATTCCCACCCCTTGAAATTAGAAATATAGAATGTGAAAAAGAACCAGACATAAGATACTTATTTAATTCCCAAAACTTTAGAAGCTACCATACATATCAAGATTATTTATGTCAATTGATTCAACTATCCTCCCTCGCCTTTTGTTTTATAAACATTAATGAGCTATGCAGGTCGTATGAACCGAAGCTTCCAATTATGGCTTGAAGTGAAGTGGAACCATTGCATAAATGATAAAATTTTCTAAGATAATGAAGTTGTTGATTAGTGTTTCCATATGTCACATAATCACTGTGTTGCTGTGACTTATCAACGAACCGTACAAGTATACTGGCAGCATTGCATTTTATTGGTTATCCACATGACTAAATCTACCCATCCATACAGATTGTGTTTTTGTGTACGTCTGCTTCTTCTTAAACCAGATAAATATGAATTAGTTGTATGAACATGAAGACAGCAAGTTAAGTAGGAACAAGCAATACCAAAGACTCGATTGCCACACTCTTGCTAACAAGATCTGTTGTGGTAATTGCCACTGCTGCAGAATCTGCCCTGTATGGAAACAAATAAGCTTTAAAGAAGTGAATGAACAAAAGATTGAAAAGAATGAACAAATAAGTTTTGGTAGGAGCTTAATAAAACATTTTTGATGTTCTAGTTATGTTTGTATATAAGCTTGATTAGCTTTTGAAGAAAAACATTGTTAATATAAAAGAGACAAAAGCATAGTTTATGGTATCTATGTTTGTTCAACCAATTAAATAAAAACTATTTTCACATGCATTGTTTTCAACTTGAATGCTTTTCTAACCATGGTTTATGCTTTTTTTAAAAGTCTTCAAAAAATAATCTCTAAGTTACTTATATCTAAAATGATTTTTAAAACATCTAAAACAAATGGGTTTGTATCTCATCTCACTTATAAAAAATGAAAGTTGATTCGTAAATGCAGAAATTACCCCTCATCTGAAGCTGATAGTGAATTCACTAGTAAGGGAAGTGAATTTAAAAGTGCCCCCTGAAAGCGAAATGGCAAATATAAATTTTTAGAAAAACAGTAATTGAATAATTAAGTTTGAACATTTTGCAGGTGGCTTGTCCAAAATCTTGTGAATATTACAGAATGTGATCATCGAGGACACAAGCACATAGGATATAAACCCAATGAACAGAATCTCTGCATTACCTTTTTTATTCTTTCACCAATTACACCAGTGGATTCAACTAGTATTTCTTCGGGCTTCACTCCCAGTAGCTGAAATTATGAACATCTCTAGTCAATATCGCACAATCACTTTTATCATGGAGCAGTCTATAAGGAAGATCAGTTAAACACAGTAAATTAATGCATACCTTTGCAAGGCTTTCAACGCATTCTATGGTATCATGGTAACCTGCTTCGCCCTGGATACATGAAAGGATTCAACCACTAACATATCTATTTAATTTCTCACACACACAAAAACATGTTAAATGATCTAAGGTGTTGCAAAACATTCATCAAACTGAAGTATCTATAGTGAAACTACACTTCAGTAGACTATTCACTGACTATTATTCAATGCCCACATGCACATCAAATAAAAAGAAATTTAGTGGCCTACCGTAGCGGCGTTTGCTTGACCTGCATTAGTTAACACAGCACGTGCCTGAAAATTT